GCAGAGATTTATAGAAATGTTATAAAAGGCACGGCAGGGACTTAGTACTTCTTGGTTGGTGGCCCAGTGCTACCAGGGTAGTATTTACTATTTTTCTCACATGCCTATTAACAAAAGGTGGTAAAGAAGATCAAAGCAAACCTGCCCCTTTATTTTCCTTTCACAGGGTCAATCTGCCTTTGCGCAGTGTTTCTTTGTCCAGCAGCCTGTTAGAAGCTCTGCGTAAGGCTGCAGGGTGGCAGAGTGTTGTGCCTTTATTGCCACAGAAGCCTCCTGGAAGTGGCATCATTCTAGGAAACTATAAGGGAGCCCTTTAACTTCAAGAATGGGGATGGCAGAGGACCAGCGGGGACCCTTTGTTCCCCAGGGGCTGTTTGATTTTACGTCAACGTGCTGACTTTGTCCTTTTCAAACCATGTGAGTTTTTTTTCTTAATTACATTAAAATGTGCGTTTCTAAAACTCCTGCTAGTAGTACATTGCAGCTTTCTTTGGGGAGGTGGATTAAGTATTTAAAAGATTACTGAAGTCCAGCAGTTTTGATGGATTAATCATCTCCTCTAATATAGAAATGTGGAAAAGCACTTTGGCACTCGTGGGCCCCGCTGAAAATAACTGACTTATGTATATATAGACCTGTAACTTACCAGTGACCAGCCATTCAACCCAGCAGTAATAATTTTTGTTTTCAGCTACAGTCCTTGGTGAGTACAAATCGGGCTCTTTCCCATTTCAGTAACGTTTTTGTAAAGCTCACTGGGCTTTTAAAAAGGAAAATCCAGGTATACTTTCTCACTGGTTAAGATTTCTCTTTGCAAGAGGATATTCTTAGACTCACTCAGGGGCTATGCTATTTTCCAATTTTACATCACAGAATAAAAGCTTAGGGAGCATAAATGTGAACAGAAGCCTGAAGGTATATGTGTATGCCTGTGTCTGCATGTGTTTAGTCTTTTACATAACATCGTGGCAGCTAGGCCCGAGTCACGAGCTGACTTTCCTGCAGATCAGCAAGTCTAACTGTTTCATGTTCATGGGCTGGAGCAAGGCCAGAGGTGCTGGGCAGCCAGGGTAGAATGACAAATGGACATAAATCCATTATGTACTAAAGGGATGGGCGTGGGGTGGGAACAGCAGTTGCTCAGGGGCCTGTTGGCCTGTTTGGATGAGTGGTACCATTTTCCACCTATGATTGCAAGTACATTTTATGGTCATTCTGGAAACATTTTTTTTCTCTGTACAAAAGCCAGTCTAGTCTAAAATCTACCCTTTTGCACTAGGCAGTGTCTCATTTCTCTCAAGTTTGTTCAAAGTCTCCATTACTGCATCATTTACTATTTTAACAATTCGAGCAAAACAATTGCAAAACCTAATTGACTTGTGGAAGTCTACATGGCCCAGTTCCCATGGGAACTGATTTAGGCTTGGGTATCGGCAGGCGACACGTGAGGACGGTTGTGCCACACTGGATTGAAAACACTTATTAGTGCTGGGGAACAGTAAAGGAGTTCAGAATTGTATTCCTTTTACTTCTGGGGATATTTAGATTTAAGCTCTCACTGTGTCCCTTTCCACATTTGCTTTTATTTTGGGTCAGACTGTAACAAAGAGAAGACAATAGCCCCAAGCTCTGTGCCTACAGGGGTCAAGCCACAGTGTTGCGGAATTATATGACTTAACGATTGTGCCCATTAAAGGTTGGATTTGAGCCTTTAGGAAAGTAATCTCAAATGTATTTATATGTCTTAAATGACATTAAAAGTGTGTACTTTGTGGGACAAAATCCTTTATTATGATTATTTGATCTTGAGCTGTTTGCTTCCCTGTGACTGGTCGCAGCTGTGACTGAGATGCAGCTAGTTGGTGTTGGAGTCAGGATTTACGGGTCAGCAGGATGAAAGCATCTTGGCTTTAGAGAGAATGGCCGGGGTGTGATCCTGACTCAGTGATTTAACTAGCTCTGAGACTTGAACCTCTCTGAGCCTCAGTTTCCTGATCTGTCAGGTGATAACGCCTCTCTCTCAGGGCTGTTGTAACCAACAAAGACAACATATCTAATGCCCTTGGCACAGTGTAGGACATGAAGCTGAGTGTGTTCCTCTCCTCGACCCCACTCTGCCTCATGGGTTGCATGATGGTAGCGACTTCTGACCTCCTTTGGTAAGCTCTCACTAACCCCAATAAATGGTTTTAAGTATCATGTGCATTCTTTTTAAAACAGAGCAACCATTTTGGTGGTTTTCACATTTTGATATAAATCAGAGTTCTCTGGGAGACCCCTCAGACTGGAGCATGAAAAATCCCATCTTTGTCCATGAGGGATAGCTGACTGAAGTTAGTAGAAGAGGAAAATCATTGATCACCTAGTGGGGTGGGCTCAGTGCCAGTCCTCTGTGTCCCACAGAGGCTGTCCTGTGACCTCACTTCCCAGAACCTTCATTCTGCTGGGTGCCTTGAGCGCAAGCAGGACCTCAAGCAGGACTCCTTCCTGAAATTCGTAATCTTGTCTGGACAAGTTAAATGCTAGCTAGCGTTTGCTTTGCTGTTTCATAAAATAATTGAGGCCACCCTTGAAAGCAGTGGACTGGACAGCTACTGCAGAGGTCATTTGAATTTGAGGGTGTACTTTGCTTTTCAAAAGCCACTCTTGGAAAGGTTTTTTGTTGTCCTCCTAGGACACCTCATAAATATTGTCACTTCACTTTTTTATTTGGAAAGTGGAGGAAAAGTTCTCTTTTTCTTTAGCTTTGTTTATTTTAGGAATACTTTTATTAAACTCAGTGGAGATGATCAAAGTTGTTAGTTTTATCTGGATGAGGAATATTTCTGAATGAAATCTGTCATTTGCCCAAGACATTGATTTTCATTTTCTCTGCTAAAAGGTAGTTTCAGCTATACTCTGTGTGTGTGTGTGTGTTGCTTTTGTAAACACAAGCTTGATTCTCTGGAAGTAGAAGAAACTAGATTGGAAAATATTTTCACAGATGTTTGTGATATTTATTTTTCTTTAATCAGATGATCAGTAGATAGGAAATAATTCTTTAATTCAGAAAAAATTTACCAATTACAGAAAATAATGGAAGTACATTGACCAATTTGTATCCACTGTTATTTCAAGGCACAGATCCTCCCTCTCCTTTTCTCTCCATGTCTTGCCAGCTCCATAGAAGTTGGAGAAGTGGGCTCTGGTATTCTAAACCCTGTATGCCAAGTATCTGCTGTAGGAGAAGCACAGCAGTAGGAAGAAGGGAATCCGAGCTTTCATTGTAAACTTGCTGCCAACTCACATTTGACTCAGCTTCCTTGCATGTAAAATAATACTGATTCACATATTTCCATTCCTTTGTTCCAAATGCCTATGTCACAGGCTAACATGATTTTAGTAAATAAACTCCATATCTGAAATGTCCTACATGTCTCAAAGCCACAAATCTAAACGCAGTAACTTATTAAATTCCCTAGGCTATGGAGGAAGAGATTTCTGAAGATTTACCTTTTTTTTTTCCAGCATGATTTGCTAAACATTTAGGACACTTCCAGCATGGAGCTGGGTAATGAGTAGATAAAAAACAGAAGTGTTCCTTGATGGAGTTGACAGTTGAACTGGAAACGTCTTGAAAATTACAAAACAAAAATGGACTAGTTACAACAATGTATTACAATCAAAGCAGCTGGTATTTACTAAGCACTGCTTACCGCTAGTGCAACACTCATTTAATCCTCACCCCTAATCCCGATATATGATGTCATAGACCCAATTTTACAGAGAAAACTGAGGCACCAAAAGGTTAGTGAGTTGTCTTAAGTTACTCTGCCATGCAAAGGATTTAGAGAGGATATTTTCCTTGCCTTGGAGTCCCTGGGTCCCCTCTTGGATAAGTAAGTTTAAGGACTGAAGAAACAGTCTGGGGTGGGAGGATCGCTTTGGACTTTTAAGCAGACTTGAATTTGATTAAAAGGCAAAAACAAAAAGTACAAAGATTATTTTCTTAATTTGGAGGTTGACATTTTAAAATGTCATTTATTGTATCTTTAATATTTTTTTTGGCAAACAGCATAAATTTCAGGCAGCCTAGAAACAAAGTCTTAAAGTGAGAAAGCTTATTTCAGGAGAAAACAATAATCACATGATTGTGTGCTTTGGAGAAAACAGTCCAAAGAAGAACTAAAATTGGGTCAAGTGTTGAGAATTGCTCAGCACTGCCGGTAGTGAATTGTCCAGAGTGGTGGGAATTGGAGTTTGCTGGATATAATCAAGGCAGGTTTTTTCCTGTTGGAGAATCGTAGTGTCTCACTTGTGCCTTTTTGTCCAAATTGTGGGTTTCTGTGAGAAGAGGCACAGTCCTCCCTCTGCCTGTCTTCACTGGAGGGTCTCAGGTGCGTGGCCACTCTGGTCCTTGTGACAGGTGCTGCTAAATAAGCCTGTGTTTCTACAGATTCTGGGGTTGTAAGGATGTCAGGAAAACTGGATGTGTTACTGAGTGTGAAGTGAGCTGTAGGGTACCGGCCGTGCCTTCCTCCAGGGACTCCCAAACATTGTTACAATGGAAAAGCTGGCCCCCAGAAGAAGAAAAAGCCTTCCAGCCTTGAGCCCCTTTCTTCCTACTGGGGAATCCGCTGCTGCCTGTGCAAGCAAAACTACGTTTCTCCTCCCATCCTGCTGCTCCTGCCACTGAAAGCAAGAGGGAGCTGCCCAGGGGATGGGCTGCCTCGCCTCCCACTGTAACACTCTGCTGGCAAGTTCCCAGGACCAGCATCCCGGCAGACTGGCTGCTGCTTCTCCACCAGGGAGATGGAGCCGCTCCCAGCCCTCCTTGATTAGGATATGTCAGGGTTGTCAGGGCAACTGTCAACGGAACGGCAGCATATCCTATTTTCCCCTCCGAGCTGTGGGCTGAATATTTTACTGTGCGGCAGCAGGAAGAAGACTGGGGAAAGGTGCCGCATCACGAAGGAGAAGCTGGGATCTAATTGAGCAGGTTAGGCAGTGGAGGGAAGCATCTGACCCTGCGTGCCTTTCATAGGGCATTTCTGGAAGGAGAGAGCGTGTGTGTGCGCGCGTGTGTGCGCATGGGAGCGCAAGAGCTTGAGCCAGCACACGTGCCTGTGAGGAGTAAGTGGGAGGGGGCTTGCAGGGGAGGGGGTGCTGCTAGGTGAGGGGGAACTGCAGGGCCTCAGTTGCCAAGAGGCTGGTAGTATCTGTCAGCTGTTTGCACACTGTTTACCCATAGGAGATCTATTACAAGTGCTCAAATGAACCGGCAGCTTGGGAACTAGCAGCTTCCTGGGAGCTGCAATTATATAAGCATATATTTTTAATATAATAATAATTAAAAAACAAGCAGCAGCGGTATGCCTGGATCAGCTACAGCTCTCCGACAAGAGAGGCTGAAGAAGACCAATGCAAGGCCAGTCCCCCTTGGTTTATTCACCATTAATGAGGAAGATGAACAGCAAAAGAATGGAAATTCCAGAAGACCGAAAGGTATGCATTAGCCCTACCCTTTGGTCCGAGCTGGAGCCAGCCCCCGTTTCCCACACTGCATCTAGCACATTTTACCAACGGTGCTCGGGGTGCACACTGTGTGGCGGGCTTGTGACCTCCTAGCACAGTTTGCTAGTGGTATTTACACACTGTAGGGCTGTGTATGCATGAAATGGGGAACAGATTTTGCAGATTTGGTAGGTTTGAGATCAGCTGCCTTTTTGAGTCAAGCTGTTTTCTTGGCCTAGAGCGCTTTAATTTTTGCACACGCTCACTTAGACAGTTACCGGTGACTGTCCTCATCAGGAGGAGGGAATGAGTTATCAGGTTTAAATGAACATCTCCCCACCTTCCTTAGGTACGTCAGGTGATTTCTGTTTAAGGAGGCAAGTTCCTCCTCGAAATGGATGAGTTGGAGAAAGTGACCTGAGAGTGCAGCCTTTCCATGGACAGAGGGTCAGGACGTTACTTCCTTCTCTATTCTGAAATGCTGAGAGAGGAGGAAAACAAACACTAAGCTTGACTGTAGGGGGCAAAGCTGGGAACAGGGAGGGGTCCGTGAGCTTGTCTAACTTCTGATGATAACTCTGCTACACCTGTGAGAGGTTGAAATGTGCTGGATACAGAAAGGAGAGAACTGATTCTGGTGCTGTCCTTTCATAAGGATGAAATGGAGCAGCAGCTCGCCCAGCTTCTCAAGTCCCTGTACACTGCATCATCTTTAGCGTTGTCTCATGGCCACCCTCCCGGGGCTGCAATTATCAGACAGCAACATCATGCATTTTTGAGGGACTTTAAGGCTTGCATTTTAAGTTTTCCAGTATCCTAATTCTTGTAGCCACTTTCCCAATATGTTCTTAAGCTGATAGATTATCAGTTTTGTTGTTTCTGATATGCAGATTGCATTTTAGCTTGCATTCAATTGTTCTGTCACTGAGAGAGCAAATTTTCCTCCATGTGACAGAGAGAAATAGCATGGCAAAGAGCAAGCAAATATTTGAGCAATGATAGAATGAGTGTTTAAATAGAATCCGATGTCTGAAGACTACTCGCTCTCTTTCTCTTGGTTCTGGAATGAATCTGTTTGCTTTTATTAAATATAATTGAAACTGTCTAGTTTATATTCAAAAGTATATTTTTACTTCATTTTTAAAAGGCTGTATACTGGGAAGTTCTAATAAGAAGTCTTATTACTATAGTTGATTTTTTTTTACTGTCAGACATGGCTTCTATCTGAGAACCAACTGACCTCAGGAATCTGATGATGCTGTGACTGGCAGGCGACTTTTATTTGCCCATGAATTAGATCTTGAATCAGTGTCCTCTTGATGAAAACGCAATACTTTAAATTGTTAGTAGTGAATCATTTGGCTTCCTAGGAGCTGGTAACTTTTGAAAATTAATGTGGATTTGTTGAATTGTAGCCAGTGTGTTTTTGGAAATGTTTTTGATTTGTGGCACTTTTTCCTTGGGTGTCCTGAACAGTAATTTAACATAGCCATCCATTTTGTCTTTAGTATTTTATTGAATTCCTCTTTTTGTCTTTCTTCTGATTGTTTTGGTTTGTTTTGTTTTCAGTTTTGCCTCTAGCATTTTATTTAAAGAGAAGAGGGCTGGGGGAATTAGGTGCTTCTAAGAATTGCCAAAAGGCACTTTATGCAACTCCATGGATTAGAGAGACTGAAATCAAGGAGTTTCTGATCCCCTACCATTTTTCTTTTTCTACCTTTCCCCACACCAAGGTGTGTTTAGGGGTGGGAGTGTGCAGAGAGAAAGAATAGGAGACAAAAATCCTGTGCTAATAAGGATAGCCAGACTTATCCCCACATGTCTCTAATTTATGAACACATTCAGTAATACAAGCAGATAAACCACCTTGGGTATCTCTAGTGATTCTGGATGGTTAAGACTATTGGTTTTCTGAATTTCTCATCAGGTCTATCTGAGCAATAGGAATTTTCACTTTCAAGTCTAGCTCTGTCCATCAATAGAACAATGATGTAAATATTCTGTCTGCTCTGTCCAGTATAACAACTAGCCACATGTGACTAGGAGCACCAGAAATAATGGCTATTACCACTGGCAAACTGATTTTTAAAATTAATTTTAGTTAATTTAAATTGGAATATAGCCACATGTGGCTAGTGGCTACTTTATTGGGCAGCACAGTTCTAGTCTATAGAACTGTGACTTTGTGAATTTGTGTCCTCTCTGCTTTGTCCATCCTTAATTGCTTCCTGGTGCCAGACGTGGTCGGGTCTTGAAATGAATGTGGTTATTAAGGGCATCATGGAGCAGACAGCATGCTCCATGTTCTGCAAAGGAGCACATTAACCTGGGTTTAGAGACGGTTTCACTTTTCCTTTTCCACTTAAATGCTATAGCCTGCTCTGTGTATTGTTCTTATCAGTCACTAGTTGCTTATACCATTTTTTGCAACTTTTAGTGGACTCCTATTTTCTAAGTTATTTCCAAAGCATCATAGTAGGATGACATACAAGTTATCTTTTATGTCTAACTATTAAACAATCAAAAACTTTGTTTTTCTCTGCTTACTCCCTGGTCTGATCAGCCAGTCATGTCCCAACGTGATTTTCATGGCTAGTATCTTTGTTCTTTCATTACCAGGAATAGAGAAGCTTGCTCTCTAAATTCAATAAGCTAAATGCTTCTGTCCAGGATTATCCTGGGTTTATGACAAGTAGCATCTTTCCAGATACTCTATTGCTGAGTAACCATCATAATGAACTCAGTGGGGATAAGCGTATCGATTACCATCTGGATTCTCGATGGTGGCTTCAAAATTACCTGCTGGGGTGAGACAGTAGATTGGTTAGCTGGTAGATTGGATCACTCCTTAAAAGAGAGATTTCTGCCCCGTGTAATCAACAGGAATGTGAAGGTTTTACATGCCTTGCTATTATTGATGTTTAACATTTAGATAGTAATTAGAAGTGAGCTGGGCTTGTGCTGTTGCTCTTATGCCTCAGGACCTGAGCCTCAGTGTAAAGCTGACCATTGCTTAGGAAAGATTGTTTAGGTACTGCAATGACTAAATGCCCTTGGATGGGTTTCAAGGCCAGCCTGTCTTATGGTAAATTTTGCTAAGCTGAGTGGGATTATTAACTAATAAGGCATTTTCTCCCTAAACCAGTGTTTGTTAAATGCTCACTCTGTGCAGATTAATCTGCTGGGCATTGTGGAAGTGATAGAAAGATAATTGACGTGGTGTCTGCTGTCAGAAGTGTTTACCTGTCTAGTGGAGGGAGACAAGCATATACAAATAATGCAGGTATATAAACTGGAATCAGGGGAAGGGCTGATTAGTGTTGTGAAATTATGCATATAATCCATGCTCTTCTATAGACTAAGCTTCTAAAGGGCCAGGACTAGTCCTCTTTGTAAACACTTTGCAGAGTGCAGGGAAAGCTATTGAATAAAGGTAAACTTAATATTCAAAACTAATTTCCACAGGCTGTAAAGATCTTACTAACATAGGAATTCTAAGAAATGTTAGTAGTTTTAGAATTGTCCTTCCAAGGTAACTGCTTTGAAAGAAAGAGTACTATGTTTGGATGTATCTGATGTGTTAATCATGTTATTCTCCACCACACTGCATTTATCTAATAGTATATCAGGGATTCTGCTTTTTTGTTTTCCATCATACTATTCATCATTTTCTTTGGTGAAAAAATAAATGAAGATATTTGTTTACAAGGTGGCATCAATTGACTACTTTGTTAATATCTAGGTTAATGCCTTCTGCCCCTTTTGTTAGCTAATGGCAGGTTAGATTGTAAAGAAATTTCTCCTTGAAATCAGGACACAGTAGTTCTGAGAAACTGTTCTCTCCTCCTCTCCGCCCCCGCTCCCCCCATTTTGTTAAAATGTGTATTTATGGAGTTTGCAGTATCCTCTTTTGGCTTGTCCACTGTCAAGGTAGAATTTCTGCCAGTTAAGTTTTCCGAATGAAATACAATCTACCATTTATTGCTTATATTCCTATTGGATAGGTGGTGATGCGGCAACTGTGTCCTCTTTGTAAGTCATGAGTCTTTTTCTTTTCAAGGAGGAGTGTGAATGTCACTCTAGAAGCATTCTCACACATTTCCTTGTTTCTTTTCCTCTTTTGTTCTGTAAAACTTGGACTGTTTGTTCTCGGTGTCCTTATTTGTGCCATTTCAAGACTAGGCAAAAGAATTTAGCTGTAGAATTTTATAACTAGTGGGGCTAAAGTATAGTTTAGAAGAATATCAAAGATCCCTAGTTAATATCAGAGATCCCTATTAGGAGAAAATCTTAAAGTCAAGCTGATTGGCATAACTTGTATTTGTTAAAGAAACTCTATGTAAAAATTAAAAAAGAAAACAGGATATTCAGAACAAGGATCACATCTAATGTATGGCTTGCACTCACTGGGGTCTCTGTAAATATCTGAGTAAATAACTGACTTTCAGGCATTCTGTGTTACAGCAATTACCATACGTATCACTGCATCCAAGGACTAAAAGGCTTCAAAATTGGGGTTCAAGAGCTTTAATTGATGGTGCTAAAATTTAACTGACTGCTCCAACTGTAGGAACCGAAAAGAAGTATTTGGTGAGGATCTCCCAGCTAATAAATCTTAGATGTTGTATTTGCTAGAAGTTTGACTTGAGTATCCACTTCCACTACAATCAGTATGTCTCAGGGAACAACTTTAATTTGTTGCTACCAAAAATTTTCCAGGTGATTTGCAGGCACCTTGACCATATTTTTAGCAGAAACTGGCACCTTCACAGTGCAAAGGTAATTTTGAGAGAGTCCATCTTAATTCTCAGATTTTGTAGGCATTTAGAAAGAGCCCCATTCATGTCAGACTGGACCCTCTGTGTGTTAGGTTTATGTTCTAGATTTGCCAACTTCAGAAGGCACTAAGTCGTACCCCGTTATGCATCACATTCAAATGTAAAGGCTCAAAGTGTATCACAGATGAACATAAGACTTGGTATTTGAAATAG